TTTTGAAGTTGGGAAAAGTGAATGAACGTGTGATCAAAACTCGATACTTCAGCCTGGCATCCGAGCGATAGAGAAGATATTGAAACAACCCGGTTACAGCATGGCGAAAGTGGCGATCCTTTGTGGCGGTCCGGACTGGCCGACCAGCGTCCTCACAGGAATTATGAAGCTCAGTGTAGTGCAGGTAACGACGCACTATGAAGATTTTGGATATTCTCGAGTGATGGTCTTAGATGCTTCTAGGAACGATGCCGTGTATTTTTCTGATTATCCCCTGTGTTTTGAGCGGAGCGTTGCTGAATAGAACCGGAGAGGGCGCGATTTGGAGCGCTCTTGCGTCGACGGTGCTGGCGGTGGCTGGGTTGATACAAGCAGTTGCGATGGTGTTTGCGGCGTATATTTTGCAGAACACGACTCAGAAGTATCACGATGAACTGACGGCATATCGGTTGGACCTATTTTGTATCTTGCTCGGTCAACCTCAAGATATTTCAGGCCGGAACACGAGGCGGTGGCAGAACTGACGCGTCAAGAGGCGATGAGAAATGAGACCACTTCGAGGCTTACAGAGTGGACAGCCTTGCCAATGTATAGTAAAATCCTCCTAGTGCTTGGTAGTGCTGATGTTTATACCACTCTTGTGCTATATCGTATTGTTTATTCAGCGGCATCTATGCTACTCATATCATGCGTATTAGCGGGCTCCTTCTCGACGTTGTGCTTCCGCCCGTTCGAGCTGACGGATCGAATTTCTGAGGAGTTCAGTGAAGGCGGCCTCGACGGGTCCGTGGTGAATCTCTTGAAGCCGTTGGGATGGCTCAGTTTGAGTAAGAATAGTAGCTGTGTGCTCTTCACAGTGAACAGTGGAGTTTCACCCGTGATATGAAAACCACTAGTGAAAAGCATATTTTACAGTTCACTATGCGTAAGACGCATGTGAGCAGTGAATAACGCGTAAAACACGGCATGTGTTTTACGTGACATGGAGGTGTATTTCCCTGTGTATTTTCGATTCACTTCATATCGTGTTTTTCACATGGAGTATTACGCCACTTC